GAAAAGAGAAGGAGATCGCAGCCATCGCGTTCGCAGAGGAAAACTTGGCAACGCGTCCCATCCGCACCCGAGAGAGCGGAGAAATCCCACCGCAGGAATCCCACGCTGCTGCCAACCGGGAACGCCGCGGCCGGTCCTCGTATCCGCCTGTCACTTTTAGGTGTCTCAGCAAACGTCCCCGAGCCTCGCACGGCATCTCTGTGAGCACAGCCCGTGCTGCAGGTGCTCACCCCAAACGCCCTTGTTAATGCACGTTGGAGGGTCAGCCCCTATCCCATCTCCTGCCTCAGTTTCCCCATACTCACTTAATTCTGTTAGTGATGCTCACTGTCATTTTTTCCCCCAATAATTTTGGGTCCTTTGCAGGAAAAACAAAGGGGAAGTTGTGTGTCCAGCTGGGGGCTTCACACCCAGCCCTATATAAGGGGGCACTTCCTAATCACTTAATCACTTCCAAGCCCTGCCAAGTCCTCACAGGTGTTGTTGCTCAGCACGGTCCTGCTGCTAATGCCTCCCTTTCCCCAAAAAAATACCCCATCTCCTGCAATCATCAAACCAGAAGAATTATTAAACCTCCCCAAATTTCGAGTCTGCTTCTGTCCTCACTTCATCACTTCCTTCTGGTTTACAGGAGTATTGATGGAGGTGGAATTAAACCCTTGTTATCTAAATTAGGTTAACAGCTGCACTGTAAGGGCTCAGATTGATTGGGAATAAATCATTAACAGCATTTTCCTAATAACAGCATGACATTGATTATAACTTGCAATGCTTCAATGCATCTTGTGGTGACCATCTTCTGCTTGAGCCGTTCCAGCTTAGGCAAGAAAATAACTGGGAATACAAACAATGCTTGTGACCTTTAATAAATATTTGGTAATTAAAGTGTGGTTACAGGAAGAAAAGTCATTATATGGATACGGTTTCTTCTGACTCAGTGTTTCTGCACCCTGGGCATCTCCTACTCAGCTCTCTAAGATCTCACCAGCATGAACAAGCCATCACTTATTTTGACCCACAAAATGTAGGTATTTTGGAAGAAATGAGGCAGCTATTTGGACTCCTGAGTCAGCAGCAACTGTGCTTCTCCCTGCATTTTTGTTGCTGAGAACAAAAGACACAGAAACACAGCAGGTGGCTTATTTTTTCTTCCTTTTTCACTGCTGCATAACAGCCGAAGTTTTCCCTCAAATACTTAAGTACGCTATTACCCTGTTCATCCAAAATGAGATCTGCAAAGACATTGATGTTGGGAAATCAGAGATGAGCTTCACACTATGGGGAGAATAATTTCTACCACTGTTTATATGCCT